AGACACCTGCTGTCCTCTTGACTCCCAGGTAGACATTTTGTATGAATATTTGCAAAACAAGAAAAGCATCTTCCCTAGATAGATCATTTGCACAAGAAATGGAAAGTCAAGGTTATCCAATTCCAGAGGATCTTTTTTTATTGTATTTTAAAATGCAATTTTACTACCCAATTAGCAAGTTGTACATGGCAAATTAGCCCAAAAGGCACGAAGTAAACTGGAATTTAAAGGATTTTAATTAAATTATCATTTGTTTAGGTTCTTTATTTTTAGATTTAAAACCATGTAACATTAAATTTAATAAAAAAATAAAATATCTGTGTTACTTGCCTTGTTCTTCACAGACACACTCTGGTGACAGATACCACAAATACCTGAGTTATCTAAAAAATACAGGAAACATATTTGCTCCATTATTACTCTTAATACAAGGAACAATCAATAAAAAACTCTAAATATAAATATACTTACCAAGTGAATTGAAAAGAAGTAACCCTAGTCATTCCCTCTCTTGCTCTACAGATGGGCAAGCAAGATACTCCTCCTTGCCGTCTAGAAAGATCTCAGCAAACTAATGGGGACCCAAACAGAATGATACATTTAATGTCACAGTAGCAAAATTACTTTAGTTTAGCCTCACTTAAACTGTTCTTAGAATGTGTTCCTTAACCAAATATGCATTCATAGTAAAACTGTAAAAGACTATTATATCTAAAATTCATAAACAGTTTGCCAATTATCTATTTCTAATTAATAACAATAACAACAAAAAAATAAAAATTTCCACAGCTGTGAAAACGCCACATGAAATACTGTCAGTCTATGTTCCCGCTTTATCCTTTTCCATGGTCCCAGGTAGCCTTTTGATGCAGCAAAGGCACTGAAATGGAGGTGAAGATTTGCTCTGTCAAATGATGTGAATGTAACTGCAAATGTAAATCAGTAATCTTATATATACAGTATACACAGAATAAAGTATATCTGTTTTTATTTTACCTCCAATTCTTTTCTATTTTATAGTACTGCTCATCCTGTTCCCCTAGTGAGTTTAGGTACGTTATACTCCGGTCCACAATATTACAATGCTAGAAAAAACAAAAAATTAAAATAAATATTTGATTCTATGTCAACAGCTCTGGGAGGCAATATTCTTAGAAATAATTTTAGATTATGGCACATCAGTACTGAAAGAAGCACTCGGTTTTACCCAGTAAGTAAAAAAATCTACAAAAATGTTTAGTGGCCTATTTTAGTGACTTACAAAAAATGTCCAATGATTCCCATGCTCCAAATAGGGACCAACAACCTCCCTTTTATGTTCAAAGATGTTCTTCTACAAAAAGAAATAGGAAAATTGAAATGTAAAAAATTGAATATAAAATAATTAAAGTAATTTGTATGTTTTTTCCTAGCAAACTAACAACTATATTGATATTGGTTCTACCTGTAACTAGCAATTAAAGTTTTGTCATGGTAATTTGCCTTGATAAAATAACGGCTCTTTGCTCTTGCGTTCCCTTCCAGAATATGGGTCAGGATATGGGTGTTAATTGCCACAACATCTGGTCACCTCTACAAAAGAGAGCAGAAATTAGGTAGACAACCCTTAAATGCTCAGAACTTCACTTATTGAACAGATTCAAGTTAATTGAAGCTCACTTTACAATACTCTCTGAATCTCACATTTAGGCAGAGTATATTCAATATCCAAATACCTAAGGTCATTTTAAAATAAGACACATGATCAATTTGTGTTAACACACACATGTAGAATGACCCTAGTCAAGGAAGTCAAAATGTTCAAAGTAGTTTAGTTAATCTATTACCATGTTGAACAGTGGAACAAGGCATCCATGGTCTGTGGAGGCATCAGCCAAAGAACAAAGGAAAATTAAGAGTCAGAGAAAAAGCACTGCAATACCTATACTAATAGCTAAATTCAAATGTGTTCATATAGCTGCTTTAACAACTGACAAGGTCACTAAGCAACTTTAGCTGTTCCCAGGCCTAATCCTAAAAGTACATATATCGTGCCAATAAACCTGTATTGACATAAGAATGTTGTGAGTTTGGGCATGGCTTTCAAAGTAGTGTTTCTCATGAGAAATAATTAACTGTGAAATGAGGGAGTACAGGGAAAACTTGAGCAGAATTCTGGATGTCTAAAATTTGTATTTCTTTGAAAATTTTATCCAATCTAGCTTGTATTGTTATACTGTTATATTCTTTACCTGCAGATATACAAAGAAATGTTTACTTTAAAACACATAGAAAATGTTACCTGATCAGACACTTTGTTGCTCTCTACAAGGGATTCAAAACTTTCCATGTAAAGTGGATAGGGTCCTACGCATCCAATTTTGCCATGTCTTCTTTGCAGTCCTCTGGACCTCATAGCCTGTAAGACTGCATTAGTAACATGCATCATTTAGCCGCCTCTTCTTATGTGTTTTTTAAACAATTATTTTAATGGAAGGGCTCAGGTAATATCAATTAAAAGCATAGGCACAAAAATGTTTTATGCTTACCACTCATATTTCTTTATAGAAATATTGCTTGAAGACAAAGAGGGAAAATTTGGCAAAGTACAATTAGTAAAAACATTCTATGTTAAATCACTGTGTTTGTGTAACTAAAATATAAATGTTATGTAAATAACATAAAAGAATGACACCCCTTAAAAGTAAGTACAAACTTATTTTAATTAAATGACAAACAGCATTTCTAATGCCAAGCACTAGCAATAATAATGCTGACAGTAGAGCTTTCCCGCCCCAAGGGCAGCAGCATTACTGCATTACTAATACTAACCACTAGCAATAATAATGCTGACAGTAGAGCTTTCCCGCCCCAAGGGCAGCAGCATTACTGCATTACTAATCCTAACCAGTAGGAATAATAATGCTGACAGTACAGCTTTCCTGCCCTAAGGGCAGCAGCATTACTAATCCTAACCAGTAGGAATAATAATGCTCACAGCACAGCTTTCCTGCCCCAAGGGCAGCAGCATTACTGCATTACTAATACTAACCACTAGCAATAATAATGCTCACAGCAGAACTTTCCCGCCCCAAGGGCAGCAGCATTACTGCATTTCTAATGCGAAGCACTAGCAATAATAATACTGACAGCACATCTTTCCTGCCCCAAGTGCAGCAGCATTACCCTATGTAGGATCACACATGCACATATCACAGGGCCTAAATTCCAGGTGGCC